TACTTACTTACTTACTTACACTTACTTACTTACTTACACTTACTTACATTTACTTACATTTACTTACACTTACTAACTTACTGACAAGAGGGTTCCAGCACATTTGTTTATTTCATAATCATCAGTGGTGGAGAAAGTACTCAAACACTGTACTTAAGTAAAAGTACAGATAAACAGACAAGAATGTACTCTAGTAAAAGTACCACATTAACATTTTACTTGAGTAAAAGTAAGTAAGTACTTGCTTTTAAAAAATACTTAAAGTATTAAAAGTAAAAGTACTTGCTTAATGTATTCCCTTATGGTCAACAATATCATGAAGTGTGCCTACTGTATGTATATTTTAATACATCAATTGTGCCATTTTAGTGAACAATGCTGCAGATAATGCATAGTTTTGTGTTTACCCTCTGTGACACTGTTCACACTGTGATTCTGTGCATCATCACATATTGTGACAGCTGCAGAAGATGTAAATTCACCACTAACCTCCTCTATCAAATGTCAACAAGTCATTTTTTGAACCAGTTAAATAAGGCCATGAATGGCACATTTCCTCCGTGGTGGAAACCATTGTGGGCATGCTGATGCTCTGCTTTTTTATGAAGAAGGGTGTGATGGTACTTTCCTGCTTAGTTCAATGGACCAATTACAGCAATTCCCCCTCTCGCTACTGATTACTTTCTAACAAAAAAATAAATAAATCAAATAAACCACAAATAAAATAAAATAAAATAAAAAATAAATTGACGTGACATACTTTGTAATTCAACGCATTACAGAAATGTAGTGGAGTAGAAAGTACAGATACTTAATGTAAAATGTAGTGGAGTAAAAGTCAAAAGTACCCATGATGAAATACTTAAGTAAAGTACAGATACATGAAAAATGTACTTAAGTACAGCAAGAAAGTACTTGTACTTAGTTACATCCCACCACTGATCATCAGTCATCTGTTGCACAAAATTGTCATAAGTTGACTAAAACGTTACGCAGGGCCTTAAGAGCTACTAAAAGACTAAAGTTAGGATTTCTGGAAGCAAATGATAAAGAAATGAGAGGAACCTGCAGTCAAACATGTGGCCAAACCCACACACAACCTGTCATCTAATATGACACACTGRGACTTCCTGAATCATTTCACTTCATTTAGTCAAACACAATCATTGAGCTTCGTAACAAACAAGCAGCAGGATGTTTGATGAGTCCTTCAGGACACCACCCACCAATCAGAGTTTTTCCTCAGAGTCCACGCGACCATAGTTCTCACCTGAACCGTCCCAGACCAGGACCATCAGAAGGAAGATCTGCGCCGCGACTCGTCCTGATTTATACAACAACATAATGTTCTTCTCCTGATGATCTGATCCTGCTGGAAACACAGTTCAGCTCATGTTTCATGGCGCGTTATCCAGAAACGGGACTGTAGGCGCAGCAGATCCGCTTGACGCAACTCCCCTACTTCCTGCTGTGCGTCAGAAGACAGGTAAGAGAGAAGGGGCGGAGCCATGACAGCCAGGTACGGTTCACTTCAGCGGGCTACTTGAACATCACTGGTGAAGAATAAAAACAACTCCCTGCTAAAGTAAAAACAAATATTAATTATCGCCAGCTGCTGATAGGAGATGGACGATAATGTTTTAYCCTCTATGTGCGTTCGAGAGCCTGTCTGTTAGCAAAATATTTTTGGAACCACTGGACGTATGTGAGCCATCATATCAAAAATGAGGATTAAGTCAAATTTGGTCAAAATGACCTAATCACATTTTCAGATTCTTTGTCTTTAAAAGCTACATTTTGATACCTGGATCATTCTGATATCATAATTAAATCCATATATATGACTTAATTTGTCTTGGTTACAATAAAACAAATATTTGGTCTGAATCCTAATTTTATATCATTTTAATGAGGAATTTTTGATGTCTTTATAAAGAGGAAACCTCAACTTATATTTGAACATTGATATTTCCCACTTAAAAAGAAACAAAACTTTGCTAACTCACTGTTATGATTGAGCTATGATTGGTTAGAAACCCAAGTGCAGAACTGAAATGATCTAGGCAAAAAAAGATGCAAAGGGCTTTATTAAACAAAATCAAAAAGCTGGCATGGCAGCAAACAAGATACTAAGGTTTAGCTTGATACAATAACAGGAACACCACAACAGAGAACAAAGATCTGACAAAGACTGAAGGCAGAGAACAGAATATAAAGGAGAAACTAATGAGTACAAACAGGAAACACCTGGGGGAGAAACAAGAGGAGCACGTGTGAGTGGGCGGGGCTGGAGCACAGGCAGACAGGAGGAAGAAAACAGATGACAAGACAGAAAACTAAAATAAAACATTAACACTGACACAAATCATAACATAGCCCCTCCCCCCATTAAGGGACGGCTCATGACGTCCCACAAACAAAATTTCAGGAGGCCGGCCATGAACCTCCCTGCCGCAGAGGCCAAAGTGAGGAGGACGACCTGGAGATCCCCACTCCATGTCTGATGAGGCCCCAGGAACTAAGCAGAGCCCGAGGGAGGAGGCAGGAGCAGACGTGGAGCCGAGCGAGGAGGCAGGAGCAGACGTGGAGCAAGCGAGGAGGCAGGAGCAGACGTGGAGCAAGCGAGGAGGCAGGAGCCGACGTGGAGCAAGCGAGGAGGCAGGAGCCGACGTGGAGCAAGCGAGGAGGCAGGAGCAGATGTGGAGCCGAGCGAGGAGGCAGGAGCAGACGTGGAGCTGAGCGAGGAGGCAGGAGCAGACGTGGAGCTGAGCGAGGAGGCAGGAGCAGACGTGGAGCAAGCGAGGAGGCAGGAGCAGACGTGGAGCGAGCGAGGAGGCAGGAGCAGACGTGGAGCTGAGCGAGGAGGCAGGAGCAGACGTGGAGCCGAGTGAGGAGGCAGGAGCAGACGTGGAGCGAGCGAGGAGGCAGGAGCAGACGTGGAGCTGAGCGAGGAGGCAGGAGCAGACGTGGAGCCGAGTGAGGAGGCAGGAGCAGACGTGGAGCGAGCGAGGAGGCAGGAGCAGACGTGGAGCCGAGCGAGGAGGCAGGAGCAGACGTGGAGCCAAGCGAGGAGGCAGGAGCAGACGTGGAGCCGAGCGAGGAGGCAGGAGCAGACGTGGAGCCAAGCGAGGAGGCAGGAGCAGACGTGGAGCCGAGCGAGGAGGCAGGAGCAGACGTGGAGCCAAGCGAGGAGGCAGGAGCAGACGTGGAGCCGAGCGAGGAGGCAGGAGCAGACGTGGAGCCAAGCGAGGAGGCAGGAGCAGACGTGGAGCCGAGCGAGGAGGCAGGAGCAGA